GAGAGCGAGGGAAAGTAAATTTAGAGCGAGGGAAAATCAGCTGATCGATTTTCCCTCGCCCTAAATTAGAGCTTGGGAAACGACTACTTTCATTGATGTCAGCTGTTATCGAAAATAGTTACTTTCGTTACGGAGTGATGAAAAAGCACTTTTTTCTTTCTATCTTTCTTCTTTCTTTCTTCTATATAACGTTTTAAAATATTTAATCGTTTTAAAAAGATAAATGCAATTGCAAACAGTTTTTTTTTTATATATATATATGTATATAGATGGTCAAAATGTGTGTTAAATGTATGTATGTATGTTATCCTCTATGACTTATTAACCAATTCTATACATGTTTTGTGTGTCGTAAAAATACAAATTTAAAATATAACAACTAAACAGAACGTTGTAATTAATTATTTCTGTCTGAACAAAAATTATCGAAAATGCTCAAAACTTGAACGATTTTAGCTACATTTATGGTATAAATGTATAGTAGTCCTCATTTCTCAATATTATTTTTATCCCGTCTACCCTTTACGTAAACGGTGAAAATAACCGCGATATGAGCGAGTCAATAAATCAATTTGCTTATGATATTTTACATGTTAGACACTAATAATTTACTGTATATATCGTTGAGGTAATTAACTTTAAAAGCCTATGTATAGAAACTATGGCTGAAATTAAAAAATAAATGAATTTATAATGTAACAGGAACAAAACGCATTGACATATTTAAAAACTTATCCATGATATACAAAATATATTCAGGATTTCATAGATATAAACTCGCAGAAAATTGTTAACAAATAGCAATGTATACCACAACAGGTTAATTCAATTCCTTATTCAGAATCACTCAAAAATACAAGAAACGCTGAAGTATGCACTGCAAAAGCAAGGTCGTCCATAAAAAGAGCAAATTGTTACAAACTCTAGAATGAAACAAGTGCAACGCACGCAAAGGTCGTTATTATGCATGATACCCTGCTGCAGAGCATGCAGGTTAGAAATGTTTTTGCTGCAATAAAATGGAGGCGGAGTTTAAAAAATTAAATTCATTCAAACTTTGACTTAATTAATTTAGTTTTAACATAATTAGATTTTTTCAATATTTTATAGTTTATTAAAATACGTAGATGCAAAAACTATAGACACCAGCTAAACTACTGATATACTTACCTCCCATTCCGTACTTTCACTTACGGCTACGTACCTCAAAAACGCATTAAAAGTATATTGTTTTCGTATGAAATACCTAAAGAGGACTGAAATGAATTTTTTTCGACGAATTTTGTTACTGTTATAACCATAACTTAATAACATGAAATCGTTTTTAGTATTTAGAAATTGGTTAAGCTGCAATTAAATAAAATTTTTCCATTAATATAACGATTTCATTGTATAATTCATGTAAATAATGCCAAAAATAGTTAAAAATGGAGTTTTACCATCTCTATCTGAATTAACTGTGAAGCAATTTTACTTCAAAACGTAGTCGAGTTTCAATAGCCAGCAGGATCTATGGCCATTTCAGTATTTTTTCAAAACAGAATAATTTAATGACTTTTTAACATGTAGGGTATTACATTTCAAAAATATGGATTGAAATGTCTGCTACTACTTACACTGAACTTAAGGTGAGGTGAAGAACAGTAAAGAGTTTTGATTTTTTTATAATTTTCTACAGAAAAAAAATAATTTACAGTAACAGCTGATATTACAGAAAGTAATTATTTCCCTAAATGATTTACGTTTCCTTGTCCTTAACCATTTTTCCATATGCCCATACAATGCTAGTGTTTTGTTTAAACTTATTTCTATTATTGAAATCAGCTGTTTTTGTTTTTCAACAATAAAATTGTGAACAGTAATATGCATTGGCTAGTTTGGCTTTGATTTAGCTTGAAATGCGTGTTGACTGCATGATAGACTATACTACAAGAGACATGATTTTTCTTGAGAGGTCTTAAGATGAAACCTCTAGTTTTTACGTTGTTATTTGGGTTTTTGATACAACCTTTCTGTTCTCATCTTTATATTTTTTATATTAAAATAGTGTTTATTAGAAATAGTTGATATTTTACTGAGTTCAATTACAGTATTCTTTATATGATTTTTTCGTCATGATGAATAGTTACGTTCATAACTAGTACGGAAAGTGATTTTCCGGCTCTTATTCCAATTATTCACAACTTTGGTCTTGCTTCGTAAGTAAAAATAACTTTCACCTTACCAGGCTTTGTGTCGTACGTGAAAATAACTCTTGCATGATTGGCTTTGCCACGCTCATAGCATTAGGTGTTTCATGTTTGGCTTTGCAACAAGCATGAACGATTTGAACACGCAGAATTTATTATACCTGGCTAAGTAGTTCAGTGGTTATAGCGATAGCCTAGCAATCAAAAGGTCGTGAGTTCGATCCTGGGAAATGTGTGTAGCTACTTGTTGGTTCGAAACTGGACCCAACTGTCCTTGATCATTGGGCATGAAATAAATTGTTATGGCTACTGAATCATCTCTCAATATCATCTGTACTTCGTGAGCAGTATAAAATTGTTCAGTTACTCTACGACTGATATAAAATTTAACATTCTGTTCTCGCTGAATTACACAATATTGCAGAAGATACACATAATTTTGTGTTTGTTTTGTTCTAAACGTTTTATGTATTTCATAGTAGGAGTTAACTTTATGCATCGGTGTCATTGTATATTTTAAGTAATTCTTATGCATTTTCCACACCGTTCAAATGTATCATACTGATACCAGAGACAATTAGAACAAGTGTTATGACGATAATTTTAACAACCTTTAAGTAAACGTAGAATGGAATCAACCTTTATGCTCTTCTGAAAAGTCCTAGTACAATTACAAGACTAAAGTTATCTAACAATTATTCAATTAATAAAATCATCCTTGAATTTCTGCAATCATGAAAGTATTTTTTCCTTATAAATATTAGCTTCGATTTAAATACATTTGGAGCATGGAATTAAAATTGAATACCTCACACAAATATAAAACATATCAATATATCCTTAACTTTTTAAACCCGTATAAATAAGAGCTAGAGAAGAATTTTTATGCTTGAATGTTTTAAAATGTTTTTGCTACACAAACCACTAAACTGCTGTTGACGGCAAACAGCGCTTTGTTCAATGGTAGTGTCAAACAAGTCGTTATTAGTGCTTGAACAATCGGATAAAACTCTAAACTAATGACACTAATGCTAACATTGGCGGACATGAAGCTTTGTGTTCACTTCATAGATTACAAATTTGTTTGTTTAACAATAATTTATTTATGACACCTACTGTCAAAAAGTACAATGACGATGACAAATTAATGTTGCCTAAAAATATATGGATTGGTTAGGAAAATGTAGCTTTTATTCAGGTTTTCCAGTTTTTCATCAATAATTTTTTTCATAATTATTTATCGTAATGCTCGTTAATTACCAACATTTAGCATTAATATGTATTTATTCATAACCACATCCTAATATTCACATCAGGGACTTATTTAACAAATGTTTACTCTCGGTCCCAACAACTCTCTCTGTTGAAACCAGAATCAATAATCCATAATTTATAGTGGATTCCGATTCCATTGATTCCATTTGTCTAACGTATTTTTTCATAGCTAAAATACAGACAGCTTTGCATTCTCATATGTTTTCACTACACCATAGTTTTTAGAAATTTACAAACGTGTATTAAATGCCTAAAGATACGTATTGCATTCTATGGCAGCTGCCATCGTTATTTGGACCGAGCGGGATTTTACATCCCTAGGGCCGAAAATCATTTGTACCTATATAAATAAAATAAGAGTTTTTAAATACTAAAATACATACTCAGTATCCATAGCATTGCAATAGGCTTGTTTTTTGTCACCGCTGCCTGGCAACTATTTATTATTGTATTTTACTTTGGTGCAAAACTGTAAGATGTGAACTATTGTAAGGGAATATAGAAACAAAACAAGTACAACAATTTAAATTTATTATTTACATGTAAATATTGATCTAACTTTTTACAACATCCGAAAGAAACATACAGTATTTTACATGTGATTAGAAAAGCAAGAGTAGATAATGTACAAAGATAAATTCTATAAAACGGCAACCAAACAAGTTAAATGTGTATGAGTATGATAGTTATTGTATTGCAATATTATTATAGCTGCATAATAAAATGCACGAATTATACAAACATTTTGAAAAACTGACAGTCATTGATTTAATTTAATTTATAACGTTATAAAATATACAATTAACAATATACCTATGTTATACACAATATAATTTATTTACATTAATCGTATAAAATTTAATGTCATTATATTTAAGGTTAACCAAATTAAAGGTTTCATTTTGTTCTTTAACATAAATTAAAACAAAACTTCGGACACTAACTGAATAGGTAATTAGGCTACTAATTTGTTTATTTCATTACACAATATCTAATAGCACTTAACGTAATTAATTAATTACAAACAATCTTTAACTAAAATTAAGAACCAAGTATTTAACCTGTATACATATCATTCAACTAGTAAACTAAATTATTTTATGTCTTTTTACAATTCCTAGGAGTTTAATTTAAAATCGTGAAAAATGGTTATACAATTCTTGATACCTTATTATTTATGTACTTAAAAAACAAGCCAGCCTCTTAACGTATCATTTAATTTTTAAATAACAAAAGACTTAATATTTATTTTTTTTCAAATTACAATACAAATTTTTACTATGTACAATTCCACGCTAAATTCTCTACACTAAGGGAAATTATCTACATATCACTTTCAAGCTATGATAGAAAAACTACTCATATAAAATCACGATATGACACTGTGAAAAAGATAGATTTTACTACATTTGATTGAATTTATTAACACTCGCCCTGTAAAATAAATATTCCCTTAAAACCATAATCAACTGGTTTTAACTTTTTTAAGTAAGAAAGAACATTTTGTTGAATTTTTTTTTGTAATCAGTAATTAAAATTGCAAATGTGTTTTTCTATGTTTTTCACAGTGGATGAAGTCAAATAATGTCCTTGGTTGTTCTAAAAAGATCACCTATTGACGACAGGTCCTGTGGATGGATACATTGAGTTATCTCCCATGTACTGTAGAATGTGACACAATGCTAGAAGTAAGGTAGGTAATAGCCTAGTTACAGCACTACTGCTGCTGTTGCCATGTTGCATGGCCGCTGGGTGTTCCCCTGCAACAAACAAAATGTAATACATTATTAAAGTGATACAGTCAAATTTGTGTTAATCATTGTTTAAGCCCACCAATACAAAACAATGATCTTTGGTAGCTGATAAAGTAGCTCACCACTCAAAGTACTCACTACCAAACGAGGTTCCAAAGTGTTGCCATCATGGTAAGTGTGGAAAGGCGTTTAGCGAAGAAAAATATAGGCATATGACACATCAAACTGAAGCTCAGTGTGTAGTGTTGACGAAAAAGTATTTGAACGAATTCTCTAAGGGCTCAACCTTACAACTGATTACCAAAGGGTTACGCCCACATGCTTTTGAAGTTTAAGAAAACATAAATGTTATAAAGTATCAACCAAACAAAACTTTTAACTTATATTACCTACCTACAAATTTTCAAATTACAAACGGGTTAAACAACATTGATAAAAACTAATGCTAACCGTTGAGTATATGCATCAGCAGATTGGCTGAAGATTTTGAACACTTTTTGTTTCCTTTATATTCTTAGATATTTCTTAAGCTTACACATTATGAATTGGAAATAGATTGGAACATGTTGGTACTCATTGTTGTGGTTTGCCCCTGAGCTGGTAGGACAAATATTAATAGTGGTTTATTTACCTTGTATTTTCGTCACAGCTCAAAAATGTTGTATAGAAGCTACAACCATGGTTTCGATGCCGTTTGCGTCATGGTCACGTAGGACATGTCGAGAACTATGCTTTGATTCTCGAAATGTCCTAGTGACCATGACGCAAACGGCGTCGAAACCATGGTTGTAGCTCCTATACAACATTTTTGAGCTGTGACGAAAATACAAGGTAAATAAACCACTATTAATACATGTTGGTACGTTTATGACCCTCATTGGAGCAAGATCATCAGCACACTTTCTGAGTTACTATTTGAAGGTTACAAAGTATGGCTTCCTAACTCTTTTAATAAAGATCTAATGACTACGAAGTACCAACTAAAATTTGATTGTGACATTGTTTTACATGGTTCAGAGCTAAGCGTGTGCAAAAGCATACGGTTCAAGTTTTCATTGACCTTGATTGTTTCTTAAATCTTTAAAGTATCAACTATTATAAGGTTGGAAAATTATAGGTTCCTACATTACTCGCCTTTGCATGTTCAACCGCTTTTTTGCCGAGTCTTATTTGGAGTGTGACTACGCATCTTCCTCTAAACTCGACTAATATTTTCAATTATTTGTTGTTTTAACAGCTTACATTAAGCCACAGAAATGCAGGTATTTTACACCAATGTATAATATTCAAATGCGATTAGGAAGCTAAAATTTAATGTAATGACTAATATTAGTTCGGGACGTTTGGGTAGCTGCATGACTAGCATGTTGAACAATCACTGACCAAGTCTTAGATGGAGAAGCGACCACGTATGGTTTTCAAAACCTTATTGTAACTTACAAAATCTATCTTTGAGTCTACAAACTATCACCTAACATAAGTTTTGAACGTTTGGGTACGTACATGACTCACCGTTGAGCACGTGAACCAGCACACTAGCTGAGTCACTGCTAGAAGGGGAGCAGGTGTAGTTCCCAGAGTCTGCCGGCAGAGCTCGCGCGATCAGGAGGCGTGATGTTCTTGTCTGTTTCTCGGTGACCACGCTGATTCCTCCACGCTGGGAGTAGTTGATGACGTGTGCGCCGCGATACCAGTATATGAAGGACGGTGGGTCTGGTGTTTGTAGCACTACGCAAGTCAGGTTGATGTCACTCCCTGCTTTTATGAACAGCTCTGGATTGCCCAGGATCTTGGCTTTGGATACTGAAAACGAAAATTTTAAATTAATTATAGTGATGGTCCTACGGTGGACTCCCTCTTATCCGGAATCCTCGGGAGAGAGGCCAGTCCGGATTATCGATGGTTCGGATAAGGGGGCAGCACAACGCAAGTCAGGTTGATGTCACTCCCTACTTTGATGAACAATTTTGGATTGCACAGGAACTTAGCTTTGGATAGTGAAAATTTAAATTCAATTATAAAATTACTCTTTCTGTGGACTTTCTACTATCCAGACTCTACAGGACAGAGGCCAGTCCGGATTATTGAAGGCCCTGATAACGGGGTTTCCGGTTAAACAGTCTCCCAAAAATGCATGCCACGGGAATCAATCGAATACTAACCCAAACTATTTAACTTTTTGGGAGAGCATTGTATTTCAGACACGTGATCACTGATCTCAAATGTTTTCCAACGAGAAAAGTACTTTTAGTATTGCCCTTTTTTTGCTAGTCTATTAAATCAGTCTAGTCCTATTAAACCAATGTGCTGATAAAAAATTTCCGATTAAAGAGATACCACTTCTGCCGAGTGTAGTCCGTTTAAAAATGTCTGGTTAAAAGGTGTCCGTATAAGAGGGAGTCTACTGTATTGACTTTTTCGTAGTTTCTACTCTACAAATATTGATAAATATTAAATCACAGCCCCTTTTTTCGTACTGAATATCTTGACGCACTGGCATCGTTTTCATTATCTGGCCCTAAATTTAAATGTCAATGCCGCTAATCGTCGAATGTGATGTTTAATATGTCCACAATAATTTGAGCTCGCATGCAATCACAGTATGGTTTGCTTGGTCTAATGAAGATAATGAACAGTATCCCATAAAATGGCCCAGTATTTAATTGCATTAATTTTATTAACTTTTCATAGTAGCGTTTATTCTTGCATACATTTTTCTTAATTTCAGATATGTTTCTCCTTTGGGTATGTTTTAACAGAGTAGAATAAATATAGAATTGGGTAAGTAAAATAGAGATTTTTGCTAGAGAAATGGCCTAAAATCTGTAACTTCCTTAAATGTCGCTGAATGTGATAAACTTTCTGATTTAATTAATTGTTTTACAGATATGACAAATATTATTTTAGGTGAAGTTTAGGTATATTTTGGCTTAGTTTGAAAGATAGGGCGCATTGTGTCCTACTTCCCAGTTTTTTTTTCTTTCTATTAACAACAAAAACATTTCTTTCTCATAGTACACATGCCATATTGTTTACACCAAGATAAACATACTTCTTATGTTACTATTTCTGTGTGAGTAGTAAATTTACTACTCCCTGGATTTAATAGATTTCTCAACGATTTAATACAATCAACACTTACTGACGACGTTGAGTTTGAAGGCCAAGCTGATCTTGGGTTCTGTGCTCACTTGACACTCGTATGTCCCAGAGTCCCTGAGCTGAGGCGAACTGACCTTGAGCGTCCACTCGTCCGTCCCATCAGAGTGTAGAGACTGGAACCTCTGGTCGTTGGTGTACGTCAGGATACCGACTGTGAGGATATGCAAGTCCCTCTTGCGGATCCAAGAAACCTGGAGCAAAGTCGTTCATTAAGGAATTGACAATTTCCACATCCACACCAGTACAGCTAAAGAGAACTTTAATCTTTAATTCCCTGACTAATTCAGCAACCAATCCAATTTTCGAGAAAAAAGTTAAAATAAAAAACAGGACAAGGTATAATTTGGGCAGCTTTGTTGGTACACGTGTTATCAGTTGTTGCAGTAGTCCACCCAACACTTGCAGTGATAAGTTTCGATCAGTCACAGTTTTTAGCCGTGCACGTCTCTTAATGTTTTCGTGTTGTGTCCGTGTCTTGTGTTATATGTATTATTTATTAATCTTTGAAGCAATGGAAATGAAGAAACCACGTAAAAAATATAAATATGTAAAATAATAGTGGCTCAGTTTAGTGTATGATTAGTACTACGCAGCCGACGAAGGAGTCATCTCCGAAACGGCCGTAGTGCTTAATTAATTTAGGAATGAGAAGACTGTAGTAGCTTTTATACATTTACATACAGTATAATATTTTCTTTCAATATAACTGTTCAGGAACTTTGTTGTTGCAATCATACAAAAAGTAGTTGATTTTGCAACATCATTTGTACGGTATCAAAATAGCTTTGTTAAACAAGGTTGTAGTTATTTAGTTACAAACTTGGTGCTAATAGCACCAAATTGTGGTGGATTAAAAGCATAATTATTTCGGGTTATCGATTGAAGTGGTGAAACAGCTTAATCGCTTTAGTTACAACTAGTTACTTTGTCCGTGCTTCGAAACGGGTAAAGATGCTATCATAACAGAAGAGAATAATGTGGTTTTGAAATACTGTATTGTGTAAAAACAGATACACAATAACAACCACACACTTCTACCTAGAATCAAAAATGGTAGAAATAAAGAATAAGCTTACTGCTAATTATAACAAAAATATCTCGTATTTGTTTGATCAGCCATGAAGCATATTCAAATGTAATAATTTTTGAAGGAAAGAACATCTATGACATGAATTTAAGGGTTAGCTCAGTTACGAAGTGATTAAACAATTATAAACTCAAACATATATAAAATCCAAAGTATATAAAATATTCTGTAATAAAAAACACCCCTTTAGTTATGGTTCATTACTTTACAGAGGGTTTATTCAAAACCTAACACTTTTCCGGGAAGTTTCTTATGAAAACTTCTAATTCCAGTATAAGGTTAATATACGTGCAGCTTATAGTTTCCTCAAACGCCCGTGTTCTTTATTACATCTATACATATATACTTGAAAGACACTAGGTGTTAAATTTTATAGAAAAAGTGGCAAGTGGTAACTATATTCCGATACAGTCCTCAGAAGAGAATGGTGAGAAAGCATTAACCCATAAATATTTAAGACGCCCAGTCAGACCTTGACAGCTTTCAGAATAAGAGGCAGTGAACGTATTCTGCTGGTATATCAGTATGAGACCCTGAGAGATACAATTATGTTAATTTCACTATTAATTTTGTGAGTAGATTATTCTCCTTGTTCACTGTAATCCCGACGGATTAGTTTGAAATGTATATTAAGTCTTTCGTAGACATGATATACATCTCAAGCACGTTAAGAGATAAGGCTGATTATTATTTTGCCTGTATAACTCATCTTTAAATAACAAAGTCATACATATTTCATTCATACGAAATGTACTCATAACTAGTAATATTTAGGCATTACAAATTTTAAAAAGGGTTGGATATTGGACTACCCACATGTACCAAACAATGTTTTGGAAAGCTACGCAAACATATCAATGTGACCTTTAAATTATATTGGCATAAACTTTACGATACTTAACCAAAAAATAAGTGTGTACTCCAAATCTTCAGCTAAAAAACAACCATAATCCATTCCTTAGAATTCAAGACGGTTGTTATCAAGTCACTTATATTTACTACTTCACAGTGTATAAAGGAAACTATTTCTGACTTCTCCAAAGCTACTTTGTTTCTTCACATTTAAAACTCACCGCTCTGTCCCCCAAGTTGCGCACTCTGCAGTGTAGATACGCGCTCTGACCAACCGTGGTGGTTACTTCTCTGCGCGTAGAGTTGTCAAAGTACGGTTGTGAGAAGGGTTGCTCCCAATAGTTGTTTGTGTCTACTACTGCCCCTGAAAAGAAAAGAAAGGTTGAAAAAACGGTGCATCAATGTATATTATACATCATCAAAAATATGTATTCATACACTTATTTCTTCTTGATCATTTCCGTACGTGTAATTAAGTTTATTGTTTACGAGTGTGCAGTCAAAATCGATCACAACTTTTACATATATTTACCATCTTGTGAGTTAACAGTATAAAAGTAAATATATATGTTACAAGTAATAATAGACACATTTTAATGTATGGTATTAGCACTCTAATATCTAGCTCTTAAAGTTTTTACTCAAAAAAGAAAATATGATAATTGTTAGTAATATTTTTTTATTAAGGTTTATAGAACAAGAGTATAACTAAGTAATGCATTATGAAAGCAAAACGGTAGTATGGTATGAAGTTGCAAAAAAGGTTGGCAAAGGTTTGTAAGAGGTGATGACGTCATTAAACTGTATATATATACTTAGTAACGTTGGATAATAAATAATATAATAGGTTATACAGCCAAAAAAACTTCCTCAGAAAAGGTTTATTAGAAAGTTTATATGTATATGAAATCAAACGCTTTTACCATCATGTTACCCTTTTCCAGCCATTAAATTGAACCATGAACGCTTAAGCAGCATAACATGCAGTTTCTATATGCGTGTTCCATTGAGCTAGCATATAAATATAGTTTTAACTGTTTTAAAGAAACTTCAAATACCTTGTTTATAACAGAACTTTTTATCGAGTAAAGTCACGAAAGAGAAGCACGCAATAATAAGTGCAAGTAACGTCAAGGTAAAATGTGTGCAATATCTTAAATCTTGACATTCGCCACTTTGCAAATAATAAATTTAGACAACGTATGTAGGATACGATCTTTTGTGTCTAATACTGCTGTACGTAGGAAGCGAGCTGGTCTAGTAGCGTGGGACTTATATCCCTGAGGTGTCGGGTTCAAATACTACTAGATCACCAATGGATTTTATCCAAGGGATAATGCCGTGACCTTAGGTCTAGTATGAAGTAAAATAACGATTCCGGGCTAGAACCTAGTGTTCTAGGACGACAAAACCACCACTGCTGACAGAAAAATCTTAACGACGATGCAATTCTTGTAATATAAAGATATTTATTCATGCGTCTCGAAAGTTTAAGGTTTTCACTCGTGGATTATAAATAGAAAATACCCATGGAAGTGTGAGTTTCAAACTAACCGCAATAAATCACATGGTAGACTCCCCTTGAGTGGTATATTGTATATTCTCTCATGATGTACGGCGATTTTACACGGGGGTCAATATATTATCTCAACAATATTATTACGAGCTAGAGTGGACGATGGCTATTAACTTTTGTCAACCTACAAAACGAACTATAGCCTAGTATTAACTTACAAATGAACAATCTAAAAATAATTAAAAAAAAAATACTAAACATCGAGATAACTTAAACTCCAAAATAGACTAAAGGATGTGGATTGCCACACACGAAGCTTAATAGGATTACAGACCAGTATTGGATAAAATGATAAGAAATTCAATATCCAGGATCGCAGACCATCGCTAGAGGAAATTACACATCCGGTGAGGAAGTAATGGATTCAGTAAGATATCAGAGTGTTTGGAACAGGTGTAGGTTGGATTGTAAATCGTTTATGTTTGACGTTTGCGTCGTTAACTTGTTCTTTTTATTATTAACTAACCATTACTGTATTGTTTTATTCATAAGATTTGTCGTGAAAGTAACATATAAAATTGAACTGGTTATATTTAAAAGAGAAAACGCAAGTTTAAGAATATCACAGTTATAACTAATTGTTTTTGTTTTGAATGAATATAGAGCATTATTATAGCTCAAAAATGCAGACTGTCAAATCAAAAGATAGTTTGCGAAGTAGTAACAAAAGTCAATAATAGTAAGTAAGAGTTGATGACACGATTAAGTTGTCATGTATATTTATTCAATTACGTTAAGAAAATAAAAAAATAATAGGTAATAAGGAAAAAAACACTTCATCTAAAAAATTTTATCAGAAACTTTGTTTAGGATTTAAAATCAAACACTTCTACTCTCAAGTTACTCTTTTCTACTCAAATCATTAACTTGAACTATGAACGCTTAACCAGAATAAATATGAATCAAACTGTTTCTATATGCGTGTTTCATTGAGCTGGCATATAAATATAGCTTTAACAGTTAAAAAGAAACTTTAAATACCTTGTTTATAATGGAGCGTTGTATTAAGTGAAGTCACGGAAATAAAGTAACGCACGCAAGGTGCATAACTACAAGAATCGTATGATTAAGCCTTATCAAGCTAAATGTCCGCAATTTTTCAAATCTTGATATCGCCACTTAGAAAATGCTATTTTCAGCTTAACATAAGTACGAGACGCTCTTTTGTGTCTCCTTTTGATGTACGTAAGGAGCGAGCTGGTCTAGTGTTAGAGTGCGGGACTTCGGTCCCTGAGTTCTCTCGGTTTCCAATACCACCAAATCCCAAACATATTTAATTCTAATGATAATGCCGCAATCTTGTTATGTCCAGCCAAAAGTAATGTGAATAACGATTTCAGGCTAGAATCTAGCGTCCTAGGACGAAAAAACCACCAATGCTGACGGAAAAATCCCTCCCAAAGATACAAAAAACCATACAACTCTTAGATAAATAGTATTTAACTATATGTCTCAAATTTCAATGTTTTCAACTTGTGGATTATGGAGAAAAGGTATCCATGCCAGTGTGAGTTTCAAACCAACCGTAATAAATCACATGGAAGACTCCCCTTGAGATATTTTATATTCTCTCATGATGTACGGCAATGTTACATGAGGGTCAGTATATTACCTCAACATGATTATTAGATCTAGGGTCGATGATGGTTTAGAGACAAATTATTTATTTGGTATATTAGATAGTTATCGCATTTTTTAAACGTATAAGTAATAGATTATATTAATGAACCTTTATTTAATCTCTTTTATTACATTATTGGGATTATAATGGAAAAGCACTATTTTTTTATTTCAAAACTAAATCTTCAAAATTTAACTTACAATAACATAAAAAATATATTTCTTATTTGATGATGCAAGGGAAGAATTGAAAAGTAGGACAGCGACTGCACTACAAACCAGGATAAAGTCAAGTGTTGCATTGATCAAGATGTCAAGTTCTAAACGGGCACCATTAATCTCTTGGGCAGTTTTACGTTAAAGATGGGTTCTTCGTGCTGCTTTTTATATTAATGACTGAAGAACTACCATGGTTTGCCAATAATATATTTCACAGCTAAAATTGTTTCTTAAAATGACTCTTGGTATTGATCAAATTAAGGAATACAGTACTAGGAAATGAATCAAAATAAAATACTTAACATTTAGTGGACAAAAGTCTGTATCAATATGTATATATTTTAGTATGCAGAAAGAATTATAATTGAAGAAAACAATACAAACCAAATTGACAATAGCAAAATCGGAATGTTAAACTCAGTAAAACCCTTGTAATACAGAGCAGTTTTAAAAACAAGCCTACTAATTATTTTAATGTATTTTTTTTTATTTCCTGATTTACCATATGAAACAAATTCAAGCTTTCTATGGAATTCTAGTTGGTTTAGTTTTTAACACTTTAAAGATACGTAGTTCGTAGTTTCGTAGTTACGTAGTTAAGTAGTTTTAAAGCAACTAAATTAACCTGGTGTAATGATAAATGTCTCACAAGTAGCTTTGTGTAAGCTGCAAAGTTCATAGTGAAATGCAATTCTCCAGTTTCCAAGCCTTTGGAATCCACTCTGGAGAAAATTCAATTTGTTGCTTGCGCTTATAGATAAAGATTCTAGCTTACTTTGGCTATGTTCAACCTAGATACAATTTAATTTAACCAAATTTAGAAGATTACCTTTACTTTACATACTAATTTACAGTATGGTGTCAATATACAGTACTTACTTACACATATACCTAAATTGCTCAACAGAAAACTAAGAAAATGGTGTTTGAAAAACTTTAAAAACTAGGCAAATGATTTTTACAATATTTTTTGTGAAGTTTGTATTAGGGTGTGCTTGATATGCCTTAATATTTTCCCCAGGGCAACGAAATCCTACATGTGCGCATACAAATCATAAAAACTAATTAATAACAATAGGATACTGGCCGTGAGCTACATACGTGAAAGTGAGCTTTGAACAAAAGTATCATCTAACAAAACTAGCTTTATTTACACACAAAAATGCTCATTTCAAACTAGTTAGTGGTGAAAGCCCCTTTTATTATGATGTAAAAAAAGATAACATGAAATATAAGAAACTTTGTAATTTTGTTAACTATTATGTTAAATACAATCAGGCTGTTATACGGGAATTACCGTAACCTCAAATATATGTTTACCTAATCCGGAAATTGAGGAATCTAAACTCGGAGTCGCTTCCTCCTAATCCAAACTTTGACCGTTTCATTTCCTCCCTCATTGATCCTTTATATAATGTCAATAGTTTATTTAACAGTTCATTCAGAACTCTCCAAATTAACTTTGTTTCAACAATAAAACTGTATGTATACCTTAACTAAGGTTTATATGAAGCTCTCTTGATTTTGTTTTTATTTTAAAGGTTGCAGCCCTGTACAGGATCGAAGGATGTCGTGCTGTGTCAGCTGTAGCTATCACTGACTGTTACGGCAGTCTTGTCATTGCAGGCTTACAAAAAATAACCTCCTAATAAAACTTTAAATTGTTCTACACTTTGACATAAAAATTGGTTTATTACATTATAAAACTGAATTTGCTTTGCAAAAGTATTTATGGTTTTAGTATGCAAAATATTTGAACACTCATTCAAGTCTCAAATAGTTTTATTGTTATTGGCATTATACTGTGAATTCTATGAGTGTATATTGTTTTAGTTTGTTTGTGCTTTTTTTAAAGTTTGGGCATTTCAGTGTATTTACAGGACACCAACCAATGCACATTAACCAAATAAAATAGCGTAAATTCGCTAAAATTGGATTCAACTGCCAAA